AGAGCCACGCTGATCGCTGTCCCCCCTGTGTTTCTGTTAGTTCCCACCCTGAATGTGAGAGCCACGCTGATCGCTGTCCCCCCTGTGTTTCTGTTAGTTCCCACCCTGAATGTGCCACGCTGATCGCTGTACCCCCTGTGTTTCTGTTAGTTCCCACCCTGAATGTGAGTGCCACGCTGATCACCGTCTCCCCTGTGCTTGCTGCCGATAATCATCTCTGGCAGGGTGTTTTTAATAAATGCAGGAATATCATTCCATTTCGTAAAGAGCTGTGTTTATTGTCAAAACTGTGACCCACACAATGATGTAAACATCTCAATGTTAGAATCGATTTTCAAATGAAAACATTCAGGTCGAAAGAATATCAGGTTTAAACCTACAAATGCGTACCTGTGCCTGCCACATAAGTTTCACGATTACAAATGAAACAAATGTTTCTTTTTTTCTCCTCCAATTACTGTTTTTCTCCTTCCATCATTTTTTCTCACCTCCCATCTTAGTGTTGCCATATTAAAGTTACTACAAACAGTTAAAATCCTTGGAAGGCCCAATGACAGCTTGCACCTATACCACATCAAATTTATTGTGCGAGATAATGATTAAGAACATTAACCAGGTGGGTATGATTTGTGGTTAACGTGCCTTAACGATCCACATGTCACTGTCTGGAGTTGCACTTCCAGCTAGCCTTCACTGGTGAGTGGCTGATGGACAGGCCATCCACATATTCTGGCCAGGCTCCACCTGAAAGACCTACATGGAGCCGTCTTGTGAGCCACCACCTGCAAGATCAAAGGTGAACGTTGCCTTTGGAGATATGGAATGTTACCCCTCTTAAGGGGAAAGAGCCTGAGTTTGTTGAGAAACAAAGAGGTTTTGGCTAGATAGAATCAGACATACCTCCATGCACAGCGTGGACTGTGGAACCTCATGTCTTGATCAGCGTTGGGACCCCTTCTTTCCTGAGGTTCCCATAGTGAAAGTCCTTAGGCAGATGTTCGTATACTCACAAGTCCTAGGCCGAGGGTTATACAACTGGAACTTTCCCAGTGGAAAAGTAGGTTGCCTTCAAGTGACTGCGAGTTTCAAAGATAAAAACTCTAGCTGTTGTTTGTGTGGATTCACCAAAGAGCAGTTTGAAATACCTATGAAGAACGTTATTTGGGATACCCAGTGTTCTTATACGATGTGTCAGAAGCTTTAAAGAGGACTGCTTACAGACTTGGGAGAGGTGTCTGTATGAGGGTTTCTCAAGGCAGATGAATGGTACCCAGACGCCTGAAAGACTGCAGAGAAGGTTTTCATGGAGGCAAAAGCCATGGAGTGAGGTTGTTGGGTTACCTCAAAGATGTAAAAGCCATTTAGAGTGGGTGTTGTCCACTAGACGTAGGACCGGACATCCAGTAGGACTTCAACGTGATGTTCCAGCTATCTGCAGATGATGTCAAGCTTTTGGCCTCATCTGACAAAGACTTCCTGGACATACTTGATTTGATGCCAAGGGGCAGGGATGAGAATCAGCACCTCCAAATACGAGGCTACAATGCTCTCTCACAAAAGAGTGGAGCGTTTGTTTAATTAAGTCTTGGAGGAGATGTTGCCCTTAGTGAATAATTTTAAGTACCTAGTACCTTATATTTAAGAACCTTATACATTATTGTAATATGAATCCATTTATCATATCTGTGTTTAGTATCACATCAAAACTTTTAATGTGTTCAGTTCAGTGTAAAGCACATACACATATTTGGGATTGTACAGTATAGTTTGTTCATAATGCAGATACTGCCTAATAAATGAAGCAACCATTTACTTTAAAAGATAAAACAGTAAAATTACACTCATGAAATTGTGCATTTAACTTGCTGTTATAGATTGCTTTTCTATTTTTGCGATTGTAGAGCAAACCTGTGACCCGATTTGAACCATTTTTTTAATCTGCACCTGTTTGTTTGCAGTTTTGTTACGTCTCCCCAAATTCTGCAAATCTATAAAGGGTGCATTGCAGGAGGCCTCCGGTGAGAGAAACAAATCATAAGAATTCAGCATTTTATCGTGTCATTATTATTTCATCAGCCATCACCCAAAGAAACATTGTGGTTTCATTTTATCCCACTGTCAATATACCATCTATTCATCTCTCAAATAAAATCATGAGACTCATTCCGCAGTATTTCAGCTCTCAAGAGGAAGAAAGATGCCATACTAGACGATAATTGTACTTAAGGTAAAACATAATGGATATAGGACGTGGTGCTAATTTTATTTAAATATGTATGATTGTACAGCTGAGCTCTTAAACTTAGCCGAAGCATATTTACAGTATGGGTGATGTGTTTATGGGTTTTACCCAGGCTGCATTACCAGCCGAGTGGGCCTGTGGTTTCGTAAGGGGCCCGGAGGAGCGCAGCAACGGGGGTCGTGTGGTGTAAGCTAGCGGACCACCACAGGCTGCACGGCGCATGGCGCGCTCTCTGCAAACTCATGCAACAACACCTTTTTAACGAATGCACAAAAATAACAAGACATAAAAGACACCAAATGCGTTTGCACTAGCATGGTTACAGGGTTACATGTGTATATTTGTTTCAATTCCCTCTTAGCATTCTCAGCTTCGTTTACTTCTCTGAAATGTTCCTCTGCTCTTTTATTACATAATATAAGAAATATGAGAATATATCCACAAAGAAAATGCCATATAATTATTGGGCACTTTCATTGTGCTTCTCTTAATTTTCCTTTTTTGGATAGCGTGTTTGAAATACAGTGTATTTATGCCCATGTAGGTTATATAGGTCATATTAGGTTGTATCATATAATTTGGTTCTTAGGATGAATAATGTGAAATCAATATTGTTTATAACATAGAACGTAAATGTTAAAATAACTGGCTTTTAAGCAGGGGCGTCAGAAGCATTTTGAATGTGTGTGCGTGGGGGGGCACACTGGCATAAAACTAATATTTTATGTTAAATGTGGGGGGGTCAAAACGAATAATTATGAAATATGAGGGGGACCCATCCCCTTAGAGTTAATAGCGGCGACGCCCATGCTTTTAAGTATTTTAACACCTTTGAATATTCTGCTTTCCGTGAATTCCCTGAATTATATTTATACAGTCTTATGGTTTCCTACACACTGTAACAATTGTTTAGTTGTGATTTTGCGAGTAGATCGGTAACAGTTCTTTTCCTAATACCCGTGTGCACACCGATTTTTTTTTCAGACCTATACATTGAATGTATTTTAACTGGCTATTATGGAAAATTTCTACGTAGTATTATAGACTGCTCCATCTCTAATTTATTACCGCAACGTGTCCCGCTGTCTCTGTTTAATAGTTTATTAATAATAATAATAATAATAATAATAATCAGGTTAATAATGTTTTGTGAAGTTGTTTACAATGACTTTTAAATGGTGTGACTAACCAATCCCAATGCAAGTTAATCAATCTTCAAAATAAACTTAATTACTATAAGCTACATTTAGTCTATCATTTATTCGAAGATACAATCGTGTATGTTAAATATCAGTTAAATATCAAAAATGCCTAAGCGTATTTATATAAATATTTTCTGTGAGCGTAATATATATATATTTATATGTGATTCATTTGATGACCAAATATCTATGTGTACCCAGTGATGTTTTATCTAGACTTGTATTTCATGTATTTTTTTCTGTAGCAATCCTAATTTTATATACCGTTTTATATTTTTATTATAAACCTTGTAATATAGCCTATCGTTTCTATTAAATTAGCCTTTCAGTTTAACTTAGTGTTAAGTAAAGCGAATCTCGTTTTCTCAATGTATTTTATTGTAAGAAGTCTTATTTAAAATAGGCAGTGTACTGAGATGGAGTAACGTCGTCTCCCCTGACTTGACATCGATATTCTTGCAGTTCGTGCGTGTGCGCGTCTTTGACAGAGGGGGAGACACTACAGGCGGCTGTTTAAAGCATCCTGTAAAGTCCCAACATCATCATTTTAGCAAAAGAAAAACTGCTGACGAAAATGTACCAAATGCTTATTTCACTGTTGATCCTGTTTAACTGTAAGTATATCATTTATTTAAATTACTGATATTGTCTTATATAATTAGCCGACATACCATCAATATTTAAATTATGTAATTACCTGGCAAATGATAGGTTCATCGCTGATTTTACACACCACCAAGCAGAGAATTATTCGCATGCTAAAAAGTACGATTCAATGTGCTAATTGTATAAAATGTATTGATTCTGAACTCCTTAATAATTAAGACGTTATATTTGAGACATTTTTTAAAACACGTGTAATATAGTAGACCCATTTATTTTATTGCCATAGGCCTACAGGTCAGATTTTAACTCATCACTTATCGTTATGCAAATCGTTCGTTTAAAAAATAAATTGAAAAATTTATATACACTATCTAACTGTAGTTCTGCCAATTTGTGTGTGAAGATTTCATTTCAGGTGCTTGCCTAACAACAGAAGAGCTCAGTGAAGTGAAAATCACATGTAAAATGTCACCCCCGGGTACCATCGTGTTCTGGTTCCGAGTCCTGGAGACTGGTATTGAGGCCATAGGAACATTTAACATTGAAGGGGACCCTAAAATGGTGCCCGATAGTAATGTGTTTGACTACAGAAATATGAAAAGAGATAAAGCAATACTTTTGAAAAGTTTTCAGAAGAACCGTGACAGCGGCATTTATGGTTGTGGGAAACTGAACGGCAACAAATTGGATTTCGGACCATTGACCTCCATTGAAGGACACCCTGGTGAGCTGAGTATGCACACTACGTATATTAATATGATGATATTAATACGATAATATCGCATCGTTTTATTTCAAAATGTTAATTATGACATACAGGTATTAAGATTGATTCTTCTGCTTTATTCAGAAATAACACCTGCAGTAAAGGCGGTTACAGCACATGTCACTCCCGGCAGCACCGCGAAGCCCTGCCAATGCCGAACTCCCGCCCGTAAGTATACTGTCAGTCAGGGTAGCGGGTGGATGGATAGGGGGGCTGGTGGCAAACTGTTTATGAATTAAGCCAAATAATACACTTTTATTTGTGGGGGAGGTGGGGGGGCTAAAAACATTTTAGGGGGGGCAAAGCCCCCCTAGAATAGCCCTAACGACGTCCCTGCTGTGAACCATATTGCATCTAATCATTTTTATAGATTAAATGTACATTAAATGCATATAAACAGCCACCCTAACTTTCAGATGCTTAGCTAGCTGTCATGTAATTTTAATTGTCAGTCAGCGGTTCAGGTAAAATGTCCTTGCTTGGATTTTAATTCACTCCTTTAACTCCTTACTCATAATAATTCTGGCAAACCCATTATGCAATGTACCATCGTGGTTGTTCACTAATTACTGCATTAATTTATATATTTATTTTAAATCATTTTAAGTATTTTTTCGAATATCAATATGTTCACGAGTAATAGAACGAGAATCACATAAATTATATGTAGTATTCCCTATGCAAACGAATTAAAGACGAACACTAACAAAAGGGTATAAATTAAAGGCTCTCACAGGTAACATGGAAGACCAATATGCATACTTATGGCATCGGACCTACCAGTAACATTTGGTAAAAAGTTTTTTTTTTTTTTTTTTTTAAGTGTTGCATGCAGTCACTATAAAGCATGAAATGCAATTGATCCAACATATGTTTTGCAGAGACTAAGTCTAAGCTCGGTGAAGGCTGTCCAATAGTCATTTGGGCTCCATTAACTGCTGCTTGTAGCCTAATCTTCCTCATCCTCATCATCATCATATGTCACTGCAACCGTAAGTGCCACACTCTATAACGCACACCTGTCTGCTGTTAGATTTCCCAGGTCTTCTGAACCTGTTTTCTTCTCTACCTTTTGATATATACATTCCCCTTATTGAACATGGGTTGGAACTTGCCTATCCCTTGCCAAAGTGTTCAATCAAATAATTCAGAAGTTTAAGAACAACATTTATCAAGGCATAATTGCAATGCGTTTGTGGATTTGGGGATTTCACTCTCAGCAGTTCATATATTTCATTAAAAGATTTCAGGGAAAACTTTGTGCCTGAAGGGAAAAGTCAAAATGCAGTAATGAGCCCACCTGGTTATGTAAGGGATAATTTACAGGCAGCCGGTAGTTATCGCAGAAATAAGCCCCGACAGTGTGATCAGGACCCGACGCGAATTTGAAACATTTTATTGGCATATTTGTTTTAAATTAACATTTTTAAACGGTAATCTTTGTTGGCGCGGAGGAATTGTAAACATACAACTAGTACCGGCTATGCGTTATTACTTTGGAGCGGTCATTATTTAAAAAGAACAAACCTGCAAATGTCTCAACTGACCAATCAGAATCAAGCATTCCAGAGAGCCGTGTAATAAATATGTATAATATGGCGTCATCAAAGGGATCACAGACATTTCTGAGTCTTGCTCCATCCTTGCTAATGAACAAGTGACCTTTCGGTTAATCATCCTTTTATACCCGGGCATGATAACGTCACCTATTCAAGGCATTTTTTGAATATTGCGTGACGTTCATAGTCTTAGGGTGCCTCATCTCAGCTTTTTGGAACTTTTTGCAGGCATCAAATTTTGAATGAGCATATATTTCCTAAAAATAATGTTTTAAAGTTAAAACACCACATTCTAAATATCCTTTTATTTGTTTCAGTTTAAAGCAGGTCAAAGTGGATTTTCAAATTGCTACTTTCTGTTTTTATTTGCATTTTACATACAATCCAAACTTTTTTTGAATTGAGTTTTTTTTTTGTAATGCAGAAATATTTTAGTAATATACATTTCACAAAATTTATAATTTTTGTAATTGTCCATTTTTAATTTCATGTAGGAATTAGAACAAGACGATGCCCTCACCATCACAGGAGGAAGTAAGTTTTTCAAAATATTTTCCAAATACTTTCACAACAAATTTTAACATATTTTAGCAACTATAAAATGTAGTAATTTGCCCCATATGTAGAAAATCAAAAAAATACATTTACCAAAGAAATGCTTGACCACCTAACAGAAATTCTATCATGAAGCCCTCATGTAAATGTTTTATTTCTCAGGCCTAAGAATGTCACACCAGCCCGACAGGCTATGGGAGACAGATACCACTGATCAGGCAGGGGTAGGACCCCATCTCAATGTCACAATCAACTGCCAAATTGTACTTTTATAGCGATTTTACTCCTTTTGTAGAACAACAGTACATATAATTCTTTTGTATTTTAAGATGATTTTAAGTGTATATATTTTAACAGTAATGTGTTAGCACACATGGTCATTATCAGATCAATGTACATTTTAAAATGGATTAAGTTTGAATTCAAAATTCAGTAGATATTTTCCATCATGTACCCTTTACCAAGCAAGAGTCATACGGTCTCTGGTTTCATCATGTGTACATATGACAGCTGCAATAAACCAACTAATTATCAAAATAATAATCAAACAGAACTTTGACCAGCAAAGTTTTTAAATGAAAATGCATAACGTTTAAACACTGGATTTATAAAATAACTATAATAGCATTTGATATGAGACCTTCCAGGATAAATCAGGAACAAATTCCTGTCTCTAGATTTTGTTCTTTACAGCTGAGAGATGTAATTAATTTCACAAGTAAAGAACTTCTGATCACACCCAGTTAGCCTGTTAAATGTTTTAAACATACTTATCAATACATCACACACACAATAACTCCGACTTAGAACCTGGTATAAATGGGCTGGTATAAATACAGAATGATGTTCTCCTTTATATTATGAAACTGTATGCGTGTGTGCAAAAATTTTATGACTATCCCCATGTGAAGGAAGTAATGTTGACTGTATAGTGAAAATGGTGCATGCAATGGTCTGGGATGAATTAGACAGTAAGCTAGGGTTTGGTACTAGCAGTCGATGTGATGAATGCAGAAGTAATGGAGCCAGAGATAAAGATCTGGGGTGCGTTTCCCGGAGCCATCTTAGTGCTACGTCATTCGTGGTTCATGAGGTTGAGTCGACACTGCAGGTTAATTTACATAAGTGTAATATATTTTCCCCCAGTAAACACAACCTTAGTAGTCAATGTAGCACATTGGACATTTTCTAATGTTAAGGCAGGAATGTAACTTTTTTTGCCTATTGTGCCATTGCTTGTCCAAATACCATTGACAAACATATTGGTGCACACAAGTATTTTGTAGAACAAATAAAAATAAAATGGTGTGATGCTACAATCTGGGGAAGCGGGTTTGTGCACCTACTTGGCGAAAATCATATTTACGGTTAGATGATTCAGTTTGTTAATCTTGTATTTCATTTTTAGGTTCTCCCCAGTTCTGATTAACGCAACATTTTGAAGCATTCCTGCAGTGTTACATTTATAAAGAACGGCACTTTCTCTCCTGCTGCATGAAGGGAATAATCAATTGCGGAACCATCACTGTCAACCAATCTGGCACCCTTCGCCTAGTTACGTTGCACTTAAGCAACCTCTTAAAGGATAGTTTGGGGACCATGTGTCGAAAAGGAAAGAACTTTAGTAAGGTCTATCTTTTACATCTTCATAAGACGCTAATAGTCACCGTTATTGGGGAACCCAGCCCTGGCCCATGTCAAAGTCACTCAGATCTTTACTCCTGCCCATTTAATCTGCTTTCAGCATGTTGACTGCGATTACTGAAGATTTAGCATCTAATTTATCCCAGACCTTCACATGCACAATTTTCACTACATAGTCAACACTACTTTGATGTGGGGGTGGTGATAATGTTTTGGTTCATTGGTGTACATGTGTTTGGTACCTGTTGTTTGTAACAGACTGATATCAACCCCTTGTATATATACTACTTAAAAAAAAAAAAAAAAAAAAAAAACCTTTTTCTTGTTAAAGTAATAACAAAAGACAACAAAACTAAATTCATTTTAGTCCTCTGCAGGCCAGTAGCCAGAAATAAATTTTGCGGGAGGTCTGGCAACCCTACTGGGGTTGCCATTCGGCAGACTCTGCCTACCTGGGGGGTCTCCTTTGGTTCATTTCACCAAGCAAAGCTACTTTCGAACTGGTTATTTAGTTCAGATCAGGCTACGTGCCTGGTCCTCTGTATATAAAAATGCACATACTGAGAAATCCAAATGAAAACATTAAAAGCAAACAATTATCAAGAACAATGTGAATGTTTACCCTGTACTGATAATTTAAAGGCATTTTTAATGACATTCACTACAACATACAGGTGCGAAGCTGACAGGACTGTAACATAAACATTGAGAAGTGTTCTTACACCATATTTTATTTGCATTTAATTCAGGTCTCTACTACAGTGAAATATATATTCAGTACAACAGGAGCAGGCAGAGGAACTAAAGTACTACAACTTTGATGTACAGTGCTATCCCCACTGAAGTGTCTGTGTATAATTGCCCAGAGGGGGCATATTTGGTTTCCTTCAGAAACCAAAGCATAGATTTGTTTAGGCACTTAAACAATTCATGTAAACAATCCCTGAAAGTATTATTAACAGGATATATAGATGGGGAGCTTGAAAAGTAATTGGACAGCTCATTATTCTGTCTCAGTCTATTTTTGAGACAACCCTCATATTAAAATGGTGTGTAACACAAATGTAAATCAAACATGATCAAAATAAAAATAATCAGGTAATTTCGCTTAAGGTCATTTGTGTTGTAAACCATACCAGAACACACTGAGCTGTACAATAGTGTCATATTGAATAAGTACAAAACAAATATTCCACCACCCATCAAGATAAACGACAGCATCCACTGAAACCCAAAACATTCTGTTCACATTCACATTACACTTTCCATAACATACACGCTACCCGCAATGTTTCTGTAATGTGTCCCAAAACCCTTGTGCAGAACATCTGAATTATTACCTATATAGGTTCAGTTTATACACTCACTTTTTTGTTAATTTTATTCAGGAAATTATTTAATTTTATTCAGTGAATACTGAACTGACTATACATGTTACATCTCAGCCATTTTAATATATATATTATTTCTAAAGAACCATAAAGAAACTCCCAGTTTATTATTACTATAAAAATGTATAAGGCAGTGGGGTGCTAAGGGCTTTTACATGCATTCTTTAGTAACAAGCAAGAAAACAGTTGCCTAATCATTTATTTGAGAATTATTTTTCACCTTCTACAGAACAATGTAAGCAGTATTCCATATTGATGTGACTTTGGATCCAGCAAAAGGCTTTTGATATCAGGAAGCGTTTATCACAACCTGCATGAAAACATGAATGTCAGATGTCAGTTACAGAACATCACCCACACATTTTCATTTAGTTTATTGAACACAAGCATGCACACACATTCACATTACAAATGCAGAGGAAATTCCATTACACTTGTGAAAACTGTGCTTGTGTTTCTTCTGTTCTTACCTGAGAGGCTTAACTTTTACTGCCTTTCTTAGTGGCTGATGAAGTTACAACATCTGACTGTGACTGTGCACTCAGATCATCAAGGGTTGAGTTGTCACTAACTTTTGGTTTCTAGAACGGAGAGGAAGTGGACGCAGAAACCAGAATCGTCGCATTAGCTGTATAGCATAAAGCACTTGTATCTTCACAGAAGCAATACCAAAGCCCTTACTGGGAAACCTTTGTTTTATGACACAACAAACTCTGCCAAAGGAAAAAAAAAAAACTTACCATAGGTTTACTCTTTGAGTTGCTACTTGTGACCTACAACAGCACAAAACAAAACAAGTCAAATCAGTCAGGGTCAATTTTCACAGATACTCCTCTATATTGTATTTTTCTGTACCTTAAACCTGTGACTAAAAATGTATTTTTTTCCACAATCTGCAAAGACAAACTTTTTGATTTAGTATGTCTGCATATTAGATATGTTAAAGGCACCTCTTTTTTCGCCAAAGGTCGTTCCGCATACCTAGTAGTATACAGAACACATGATGTTCCTATGCTTTTTGTCACAATATGTACTTAGACATTTCAGCAAACATGTCCAGTGTCTATAAAACTGTCTAATTCAAACAGAAAGACACAATGAATACAGTTAACATATACATGAATATATATAAGCTAGAAAATGTGACAATGTATAGTTTTAAGTTGCAGTGCAGTGAGGTTAAGACCATACCTCTGCCTTCTCGTCTGTGGGAGCTGCTTTGGGCTTGAATGCGGGGACATCGGGCAACAGGGTACTTGATAAGGCGTCCATTACAGCACCTGCTGCCTGCCAACAATAAACAGTTGGTCAGTCTAAATTACATTCAAACAGTAAATTCATTTGTTGGACCTGGTAAGAGAGCAGACACTAATGTTTTGTTTGGGCGAAAATCACAGCTACAATGGACATAACACACCCAGATCGTAATGTGGCCCTTGCAACCAATGAAATTTAAATATGTGACCTGTTTTATCTTGATTTCTGGATTTATCTCAAAAACATACAATATCAAAAATGGTACAGAGAATTATATATACTGCAAAGTACAATGCATAGCAAAGTGTTACATTTAAATGTAACTATAAATACACACACACAGGTTTGTAATTATATCTTTGTGGGGACTCTCCATTCACTTCTATTGGGAAAACTCTAATCCAAACATGACCGACCATAACCCCTACCCAGCTCTAACCTTAACCATAAGTAACCAAACAAAATGCAAGATTTTTGGCAGTTTTAGTTTTTTGAATGCATTCACATATCTTTGTATTAGTATGAATTGGTATATGTAGTCAATAATATTGATGCTAAAAATGCGTCAACATCAACATTTTAAATCAACATCTTTTTAAACATTATTTTAATGAAATTACCTTTTGATTTCTAAAATGCTTCATTATAACCATTATAAACATAAATGTTTTTCTTCAGTATCAGTATGTAATTATGGGAGTAGTTACAATTATCGCAAAACAAAAAAGGTGGTTTTGCACTGCAAAGTTTCAATGGCAGCTGCGCTATGCACCAGCACCGGAGGAGGAGGCGCAGAGCCGCCAAAAAAGGCTAAATCTGTCTGTTCATGTTTATTAAATTACCATTAATATGGATAGCAGTTTAACATCTTAGAATCTCCCCTGAATCAGTGTTTGAGGAGACGTTTAGGCCGTTTAGGCTAGAATCTGAGCTCATTCTCCGATGACTGATGGTGCCCGTTTGTGTTTCTGCATGTTGGGCTCGTTGGGACCAGTGTCATTATCGTAAACTAAAACTGAAATGAAAACAGACACAGAATAAATAAAATAAAATATATATATATATTTATCAAAAAAACATGCAACTTAAAGTGCAAAAAGTAGGTCACCATCACACCACCGCTGGCTTTTACCACGCTAATCGCAATATCTCCTCTTTTAAAAGATGTCGTGGCTGCTGAGCTGTCATTTTCTTCACCGCGACTTCAGTGCTTATCGTTTGCACCGCCAACGGAATTTAATAAGCATAAGGATAAGTCAAATTTATACAGAGTACGAACTTTCGGGTGTCACAAGACACCTCTCGTTAATATTTTAGGCATACTATTGATCCACTTATTAAATTGTAGGTGAAAGTAACATCGACATCTCTATAGCAATGAAAAAAAATAACTTAAATTTGAAGTCAGTTTGATTTTCTGGAGCTAAATTAATCGTTTTGATTAAATCGACCAATCGGTGAAATAATAGAACAATAGTCGTTAGTGGCAGCCCTGCTGCACTCATCATCCCTTGGATCTGTCTCTGGATTGGGGTTGGCCTTATGGACGATGCCATCCTCCATCGCCATTGCCTGACAGACATCATAGTGTTGAGCCCAATGCACCATCTGAGTGACCATAGTTTAAGTTACCTGGCCAGACTTCAGTGACTTCAAATAGTTAATTACATTTTTCTGTTTAGTTAATAATAGCCATAAAAAATAAATAAAATGTTACTATATATCGAAATAAAAGAATGAAGTTGTTCCCTATCACGCCTTTATTAGAAAAAAACAGAACAGCAGCATCCTTTATAGGTTACGGGACCTTTTTAGTGATCCAGTCTATCGACATCACTATGACTAGTAAGCATAGCCGTGAGTCTCAAACTTAATTCACTTACGCACTGAAAACAACAAGTTTAAGTACGGAAGCACATGATTTGAGACTCACAGTAGGTTATGAACGTGGGAAAAGCGCACAGTTCAGCTTATTCATCCTCTACAACAGCCATATGAAGGGGCAGGTATTAGCAAAGGGTTAGGGTGCCCAGTGAGAGGATTGGCTGTGGACGGGGTCAGATGTACAAAGAAATAGATATAGTAATAAATGAATAGTAATCAAGTACTGAATGAATTAAAAGAAATCTGTATAAAAATTTACAGTAGCTCTACAAAACAATCAAGCTAGCACCCCGCCCCCACACACACACACGACGTCATTGTCCATCACGATGTTTCACTACAGACATCGTCATATGCCAACCCTACTCAAGACCTCCCTTTGGCTCTCCTTTCCTACCAGCCTCATCCTCTTACATCTCATTTTGTTTTTTAAAATAATCAGCTATAGGCTAATAATCACCTATAGAGGGAACACACCTTCTGATCTCCTTTTTAAAGACAGAGAACCCCCACCCCCGCATGCCAGGCCAGGGCTGTTTCACTTTTGTCTACCATAGAACATTGAAGAGGCACATCCACCACACCATCTCAGCAACACCCAGGTTTCTCAGGATCTCTGAACTGATTTCTAACTCTTGCTGCCTGGTTATATCCGCCAGTTTAAGGAGATCCTCAATGTGTTCATACCATTGCTTGACAATATCACAAGGGCTGACTGACACTTATCTTCTCTGACTCAGTATAAGCAGCAGAAGGTCACACCTCCTCAGTATTTCTGAGGAACCACTCTAACGCCCTGTTTCCTGAACATTATGGGCAGCTCTGCAGTTCACCATACCTTCTGGGTTGGCTCTACTAAGGCAGCTTTAGGTTTAGCTTTTTCTGAAGACTGAACTGCAGGTGTGGTTGTAGATGTAACTTTGGGAACAGCAGCAGCTGGTGTAGCTTTGGTAACTGGGGCTGAAGCAGCTGGAGCAGCAGGGGCAGCTGGAGCAGCCGGGGCATCAAAGTCGGAGGAAAGAAGACCAAGAGCTGTAGCGTCATCCAAGGACGGCTGCGGGAAAGGGCCAAAGGTATAATATATGCACCCACAAATATGTAGATAACTTTTGCAAATTGACCAGGTGCACTACTGCACTGAAACTGAACCTGAATCAGCTCAGATTCATAATAGAGCTAGAGCTTATGACAATGGCCATCAGGGCATGTTTGCTAATAATTTCTAGTTAAATTCTTCAAATACAGGCAGACCTCAATACTCAGATATTTCTACAAGTTTTCATCATACCTGTTTAGGAGCGACGTGTTTTACATCCTTCTTCGCCTGAAAAATAACATAAGGTTCACTTAACTATTTACTCATGAAAGGAAGAGAAACAATGACGTGTTACCACAGATAAACAACAAAATCTCACCACACATCTTCCCCATAAACAGTATCTTCAGCAAGTCTATTTTATCTAAATAAAGTGTGATGTATCTCATACCAGGATATCTTTCTCTGAAGGCCGATACTCAGGTGGGAGGCTGTCATCTCTCTCTCCTGTCTTTACTGCCTTCTCTTCAATGGCAGTTTTCTCCTAAAATCAGAAAATAATTCAGGTTCTTAGATCTCATATCCATGGGCTCTTACACTGCAAAAGTTGAAGTATGCACATAAAATGGGATTTATGAATTGCCTGTAGGTGGCGCACCTTGACGATGTTTTTGGCAGGCACGGGGGTGGGTGCAGGAGCTGGGGTGTCATCTGTGAGGGTGTCTGACAGGGCATCCAGTGCACTGGCTGTGCCTTCAGACAACTGGGGACACAAAGAAAGTTTGGAGAGACAAGCTTATTAAAAAAAAATCCAATAAACAGACACCAGGCCATCATGCACTTCCATGGAAGTGTGTGTGTGTGGATGAACAGTTTTGCTTGTTCATTCTCTATAACAGCTCTATGAAGTGGCAGGTTATAGCAAAGGGATTGGGTGCCCGGCAAGAGATGCCACCTGTCGCCCTGCTGGTGGAGGATGTGCAGTGGCAGCCTGGACAACTGGAGCCACTCCAGGGGTAACAACATCTTCAAAGTCCAGTGAGGGCTGATGGGGAAACAGAAGTCAGTCCCTCTGCATCTCATATCCCTGCATGGTGCCCTAACACCAGGCTTCCCAGTGTTCTTATAGCAACAACACTGACCTTAGATTTAACATGCATATGATACTGTTATTACAACTGAACTCAAAAGCAGACAAGATAAGAGGATTAAAAACATCAGGTCAAAATGGAAACTCTTGGATATCAGGAGCCAGAGAGGCAGCTATGGAGAGGGAGGAGACTGGGGGTTAGGGCAGGGAGCAAAGGGAATTCCCAACAGAGACAGGGAGCAGAGGCAGCGAGAGGGAATGCCCAACAGAGACAGGGAGCAGAGGCAGCGAGAGGGAATGCCCAACAGAGACAGGGAGCAGAGGCAGCGAGAGGGAATGCCCAACAGAGACAGGGAGCAGAGGCAGCGAGAGGGAATGCCCAACAGAGACAGG